TATCTGTCCATCTATCTATCTATCTATCTATCTATCTATCTATCTATCTATCTATCTATCTATCTATCTGTCCATCTATCTGTCCATCTATCCATCTATCGTTCTATCCATCTATCTATCTATTGTTCTATCCATCTATCGCTCTATCCATCTATCGTTCTATCTATCTATCCATCTATCTATCATCTATCTATCTATCATTCCATCGTTCTCTTTCTTTCTATCTATCCATCTATCCATCTATCTATCTATCTATCTATCCATCTATCGTTCTATCTATCTATCATTCTATCTATCTATCTATCTATCTATCTATCTATCTATCTATCTATCTATCTATCTATCTATCTATCTATCTGTCCATCTATCTGTCCATCTATCCATCTATCGTTCTATCCATCTATCTATCTATTGTTCTATCCATCTATCGCTCTATCCATCTATCGTTCTATCTATCTATCCATCTATCTGTCTATCCATCTATCCGTCTATCCCTATCTATCGTTCTATCTATCTATCTATCGTTCTATCGTTCTATCACTATCTATCGTTCTATCTATCTATCCATCTATCTATCATCTATCTATCTATCATTCCATTGTTCTCTTTCTTTCTATCTATCCATCTATCCATCTATCTATCCATCTATCTATCTATCTATCCATCTATCGTTCTATCCATCCATCTATCGTTCTATCCATCTATCTATCCATCTATCTATCTATCCATCCATCTATCCATCTATCCATCTATCGTTCTATCCATCTATCGTTCTGTCCATTTATCATTCTATCTATCCATCTATCATCTATCCATCTATCCATCTATCCATCCATCTATCGATCTATCTATCTATCCATATATATTATCTATCTATCTATCTATCATTCTATCTATCTATCGTTCTATCACTATCTATCGTTCTATCTATCTATCCATCTATCTATCATCTATCTATCTATCATTCCATCGTTCTCTTTCTTTCTATCTATCCATCTATCCATCTATCCATCCATCTATCGATCTATCTATCTATCCATATATATTATCTATCTATCTATCTATCATTCTATCTATCTATCGTTCTATCACTATCTATCGTTCTATCTATCTATCCATCTATCTATCATCTATCTATCTATCATTATCTATCTATCTATCTATCTATCTATCTATCTATCTATCTATCTATCTATCCATCTATCATTCTATCCATCTATCATTCTATCCATCTATCGTTCTGTCCATCTATCGTTCTGTCCATCTATCATTCTATCTATCCATCTATCATTCTATCTATCTATCTATCTATCGTTCTATCTATCTATCGTTCTATCTATCTATCCATCTATCCATCTGTCATCTATCGTTCTATCCATCTATCGTTCTATCCATCTATCCATCTATCGTTCTATCTATCTATCCATCTATCATTCTATCCATCTATCTATCTATCTATCTGTCCATCTATCCATCTATCGTTCTATCCATCTATCGTTCTATCGTTCTATCCATCCATCCATCCATCCATCCATCCAGCCATCCATCCATCGTTGTATCCTATCTATCTATCCATCTATCTATCTATCGTTCTATCTATCTATCTATCGTTCTATCGTTGTATCGTGCTATCTATCTATCATCTATCTATCTATCGTTCTATCTGTCTATCTTTCTATCTGTCTGTCTGTCTATCTATCGTTGTATTGTTCTCTCTCTCTCTCTCTCTCTCTTTCTCTCTCTCTCTCTCTCTCTCTCTATTCTCAAATTTAGTGCATTTGGATAAAGCTGAAACTAATTTCCTTTTCCGTTGACATCACCAAACCCCCTTAATTTTTCCATTGTTGCCTTTTCAGTTCCGTTTCATTTTTAGACTTTTTTAGCTATAAATTCAGTTAATTCACTGTGCTGCCATATTTTTTCCCCATCGTTAAACATCATGTTTCAGAACAGAAACATGTGGATTGCAGGAGTTGTCTGTGGTTTTACCGCAAAGTTGTGCTACTTTTTCACTGTTTCTGCGGGTTGTTTTTTCAGTCTGCAGTTTAAAGCGATCTCCCCCCACCCCCTGGATCTCTATGCCTTGACCGAGGGCATTCCCAGCAGAGGGGAAAACCATAAAACTAGCTCTTTGGACTAGTTTTGAATAGCAGTTGGGCTGGTTTGTTTCGTGTTGTCTAGTGTAAATGTATGCTGTCTCTCCTGTAGTGGTCAGGCCTGAAGGGAAGGGCAGCAGACAGTTCGTCTTCTCTTTGGTGCCTGTGGCTTCGCCTCGCACCGGCCCGGTGCTGGACATCGCAGCCAGTTCACAGGAGGAGCTGAAGGACTGGGTGGTGAAGATTCGTGAGGTCACCATGACCTCTGAAGCCAAGGTCAGCTCCGAGACCCTCTGCAGTAACACAATAAAACTGACCGTCTCCACCCGTTACTAAACCTCTGCTGAGCTTTCTTGGATGCTAACCCTCTTAGCTGCCACCCCCCTTTTTGAACATAGACATGAAAGTGCACTATTCAAACATAAACCGTTATAATTCATGAACGCTTTTGAATACAGACCTAAGGTTGGTCTCTTTTAAAAAAGAAGACAATCAGCAGATTATTGCAGGAGTGAAATCATTAAAAAAAATTAAAGTATAAAAAAGTTATTCAAGTTTAAGTTTACTGTAAAGAAAATGTACTGTACTATTTTTATTTTGGTATAGTTCAAATCCAAAATTGATATAAACTTAAAGACATGTGTCTAAATAAGTTGTGTTCCAAATTTGAAGTTGATATAAAAAAAAAAATCGAGGTTCCTATGCAATTTTGTTTAGGCGTTATACAACAAATAGCCAACCAAACGCCATTAAATTTTTTTTATTTTCTAACTTCATCAGAAAATAGACTCGGACCTTTCCAACGATGTGTATTTTGTCAAGATTATAAAAAGTTTTGATTCTAAAAGACCGTAATACATTTTGTAATCCGACAAACTTGTGCTTGTGATCAAGTTTATCCTAAATTCATGCGGTTTCCTTCTTGTTTTGTTTTCTGACACCGACTATATAAAGATGTTTGATATGACTGATTATTGGTTCTCCGTCTTGTAAATCATGTGATCAAATGTATGCAGTTTCCTCAGAATGTGTTTTGCCTTTGGACACGTAGACTGTATGGCAGTGTTAATGACTGATGATTATTTGTTCTCCGTCAGCTTGAGGAGGGTAAAATGATGGAAAGAAGAAAGAAGATTGCTCTAGAGCTGTCAGATCTGGTCATCTACTGCCGACCGGTTCCTTTCGATGAAGACAGTAAGATATGCGACAGTTTTAAAACTCAAACTCACTGATTCCTCAAAGACCTCCTTTCATATCTTAACCAGAATTAACTAATCATTAACTAAAACCATTAAAAAAAACTTTGTGAAATAAAACAAACATTAACGAAAATTTAAAAAAGTATACAAAAAAATGAGATAACACAAGTTTAAGGTGAAGTACTAAAGTAAATTAAATCTAAACATGTAGAATGTGTCTAAAATGTAAAGAAAACTGCACACATTTAAAAACACAACAAAATTACTCAAACTGAAAATGAAAACAGCAAGTATAAAAATAAAATCAAATTTAAAATATTATCAGAAACTAACAGTACATCAGTGCTACTAAAATAATAAAGTGGTCCTAATTCACTTTTTGATAGCTAAGGCTGGGCCATATAGTTAAAGTATATCGCATTATTTTTCACATTTTGAAATGTTTGTTTGTATGCTCATTAATAATAACCGAATTAGAAGATCATTATTTCTTTGCTTTAATAATTCTGACCAAAACTAAATTCTAAAATGAGGTTAAAATAGTACAAAGTTGACAATAATGAACTCTCTAAATTAGCACAATGTTATTTTTATATGCACAAACTATTGCTTCGCAAAGTTTGCATATATCAGTAAAAATGCTATGTTTAATATGTTAATGTTAAATCTCAGTTTTGAATTGAGTCATTAACATGGTCAGTTTATACTGATTCATGAAAATAATCATTCAGTACTTAAGGCTGATGCTTTAATAGCTTGGATTTAAACTTAACACTTTCATTCTTTCAAGGGGTTACACAGTTAGTCTAGATGCTCTCTAGAAAACCTAATGGCCAAATAAACTCTATTCAAATCAGATATTCGTTATATTTATAAATGACTTTGAACGTGTTTTACTTGAAACTTAACGTAGACGTTGTATCAAAACTTGACCACTTTATATAAAATCCGACCAGCTATCATTATTGAATGGCTCATGACTTCAGGACATTTTCCAAAATGTGTCCCTGCAGCACAAAAGCAGTGTTAAGTAGCTGGGGTATATTTGTAGCAATAGCCAACAATACATTGTATGGGTCAAAATTATAGATTTTTCTTTTATGCCAAAAATCATTAGGATATTAAGTAAAGATCAAGTTCCATGAAGATCTTTTGTAAATTTCCTACTGTAAATATATCAAAACTTAATTTTTGATTAGTAATATGCATTGCTAAGAAATTCATTCGGACAACTTTAAAGATGATTTTCTCAATATTTAGATTTTTTTGCACCCTCAGATTCCAACAAATAGTTGTATCTCGGCCAAATATTGTCCTATCCTAACAAACCATACATCAATGGAAAGCTTATTTATTCAGCTTTCAGGTGATGCATACATCTCAATTTCAAAAAATGGACACTTATGACTGGTTTTGTGGTCCTGGGTCACAAATCTCTTGAGTGCCTTACTACAACTGTTTTATTTTGTTTGTTTGTTTCATTCTCATAGCGACATGCTCTGCCCAAAGTTAAATGTAATATATTGACACGGTAAAGTGACTTTCTCCCAACTAGCTGCAGCACATTTTCCCATGGTGCTCTATTGCTTTAACACAGTTTTTCCCAACCTTGTTCCTGTAGACAATACACATTTTGGGTGTCTCGTATCTGACCCATCCGTGTCAGGTCTTGTAGTCTCTATTAACACACTGATGATCTGAATCAGGTGTGCTTGATCAGGAAGAGTGTGTGTGTCTCCAAGAACAGGGTTGGGAAACACTGCTTTAATATGAAAGGCCATGTAGCTCCTTAACACAAATGCTGAAAGCCTCTTCGGTCTCTCACAGAAATCGGGACGGAGCGGGCCTGTTTCCGGGACATGTCCTCGTTCCCCGAGACCAAAGCGGAGAAGTATGTGAACCGCATCAAAGGAAAGAAGTTCCTGCAGTACAACCGGCTGCAGCTCTCGCGGATCTACCCTCGCGGTCAGCGCCTGGACTCGTCCAACTATGACCCGTTACCCATGTGGCTGTGTGGCAGTCAGCTGGTGGCCCTTAACTTCCAGACCGCAGGTGAGCACAGACTCTCGCTGGAAAAATAAACCGTTGAGAAAACTCTCTTGATGCACTAAGACTTTTGAGTTCTCTCATCAATAGTGTTTTACAGTAGTTCTCCTCAGTAAAGATGCTTTGTTTGGCCAATGTAAATTTTAGGGCTGGTACAATAAATCGATGCATCGCGAATCGAGAAACTATTCCGCATCGATTCTGAGATTTTCCAAAGGCATCGCGATTCTCTCTTGAATCGATTCTGAGCTTAGTTTTTAACAGCAGATGGCACTGCGTGCTTTAGAAATAGCTGTATTCTGCTTGCTTCCAGTTCCTTAAGACACGGACCACTTGAACCTAAAATAATCATTCATAAAGTTCGAAAAGGTTGAAGCGAATTATTATGTTCACAGTGGGCTGTGTTTACATTAATCTCACATAAAAGCATGAAAGCCGATGTGCAAGTAGTACATGTAACCACTTACATTACTCAGCCGAACGCGCAAGCGCTCTTCTTCGTGAGCATTTGAGTGTGCGGTTAAAAACTAGCCTGGAGCGCCATCTGCTGTTAAAAACTAGCCTAAAACTAGCCTGGAGCGCCATCTGCTGTTAAAAACTAGCCTAAAACTAGCCTGGAGCGCCATCTGCTGTTAAAAACTAGCCTAAAACTAACCTGGAGCGCCATCTGCTGTTAAAAACTAGCCTAAAACTAACCTGGAGCGCCATCTGCTGTTAAAAACTAGCCTAAAACTAACCTGGAGCGCCATCTGCTGTTAAAAACTAAGCTCAGAATCGATTCCAGAGAGAATCACGATGCATTCCGAAAATCTCAGAATTGATCCACGAATCGCGATGCAGTAAATTAATTTGTTCATGCAATGCTGATTGTCTTATTGTGCTGATAGATTGTCACAGCAATTGAATGTGTAAACTGTCACCATGTTACCGATTTTGTTTATTTACGAACAGGTTTCCCAATGGTCATGGAATTTCTGGAATATCATGGAATTTTAAAAAGGTCTATTCCAGACATTGAAAGTCAGGGAATTTTATTTATTTTTTGTCCAAGTCATGCAATATCAGGGATTTTTGTTTGTCGCTTTAAAATTTTAGTTTCCGTTTATCAAAATGTAAATTTTCTGTACCATTTTTTTTTTATCGCGTTTTTTTCAAACGTTTGCCTATTGTTATGGTTAGGCTATTTTTCAGTGCCATTTTATTCCCCTCACGCTCATCCCTCAAAGTCAAAGGCAGTCATCAGGCTGTACCTGTTAACTAAGGCAACCATGCCGGGAAAATGTACATTTCAAGAGCTTTGCCTAAAAAAATGACCACTTCAAAGACTGGGTGTTTAAAACAGATGACAGAAAAGCTACATGAAAAGTTTGTAAAACTACTATCGAGCTATCAAATATGGGAGAGGGAGCGGCCTGTTTTTCCGTTCATTATAGGTCATGGAAATTCAGCTTTTTAGTCAGTGAAAGTCAGGGAATTTGGCTTGGCGTGAGAACCCTGTACGAATGATAAACCTTAATGGATAACTCGGTCTAATATGTAGACAATATTGTCTTTGCTTGTAAAACAACTCACAAGACTAAGATATCCAGGAAATGGATATAAGTGGTTGAGCATACTCTAGGCCTCGAAACTAGACGCTCGAACCTCAAGAACGGTGGCAATCAGCAAATGTTAAAAAGATGAGCTCTTTACATCACAGTACAACAAATGACAAACCAACAACAAAAAAGTTTAAATGAAGTCAGCAAACAGCAAAACAATAACCCTATAACAGTAACTGCATGATTTATTCAATGCAATGCATGCTGGGAACTCACAAAGCCTTAACATTTCAACAATATGAAATTCATTGTTCAGACAGCTGTGTTTGACTAGTTGAGGACAACATTTGGGGTAATTCTGTTGGTCTGACAAGGGTTTTTATGTAGTTTCATTTATTTTCGTCTATTCGAGAAGGTTTGTAGATTTCTCTCGCTCCTGTCCTCTTGTTCCTCTGTCGTCCTGTCGTTTAACAGAGCGATCGTTTCTCTGCAGATAAGCCCATGCAGATGAATCAGGCGCTCTTCATGCTGAACGGCAGGAGCGGTTACGTGCTGCAGCCGCCCATCATGAGAGACGACAGCTTCGACCCGTTTGACCGGCACTCTCTGAGAGGACTGGAGCCCATCACGCTCTGCATAGAGGTACACATGCACTACAGCGGACTACAGCTCAAGCGTTTCACACGGAGCGCCGAGGAACGGTGCTTTAACATGGAGCGCAAACCCATTGATCGCCTAATTCACTATTAAAATAATGCTGTAAATAAGAATCTGAAAAGAAAGAAGCTTCAAATAAATATGTTAACGTGCGTGAATAAATCCAACCACCTCTATAGATTTAAGTTGCACTTTCCATAATCCGTGACCGACAGAGGAGCGTCTTGGTGGCAGGGATTTAAAACTTTAACAAGACTCAAATTTACACAGGCAGAGTGAAAGACTGGATTTTTTCGATCAGGTAGGGTACAAGTGATTTCAAAACATTTCAGCCGGTTTATATATATATATTATGTATATATTATTTATCTCGTATAAGATGCATTTGGTTGAGTTGCGCTGCAGTAAAGCACTGCATTATAGTATTATACGGGGATTATCTCTTCAGCGCACAGAGCGAGCAGGACAAACAACAATGCAGAATATTAATAACTATGACTGGGACTGTCATATACATAACATTATAATGAGAACACTATTATAATAAAACGTGGTGAATTTTTAGAGTTTAGTTGCTGTGTTTCTGCACGTTGTTGCGTGAAGAACGCATCCACAAAAGCACGTATGTGGTGCGTATTTTTATTTTTCATGTTAACGGATAAATAAACCGTGCACACGGTTGCTGTCTATTTTTGTTGCGCTGCAAGCACTGAATTAAAGAGACAGCACATTGTTTGCAGTAAATATGAACATGGATTGACACGGAAATTTAGTAATTACACTATAAATGCATATTATTAAAGTCTACTGTGTTTCACAGTCAACACACATGGATTTTTGGATAGGTTTAAAGGGAAAGAGCACTTTTAAATAAACAAAGCAATAATAGATGGCACTCGTGGAGGTAGGAAAACAAAGTACTTTATTAACTGTAGGATTGAGCAACTTAATATATAAATCTAGAAGTAAATACAAAAGTGAAAAGCATTTAATAATGTGTTGCTTATATTTATTGTGTTTAAACATGCCAGTGAAAGACTGTATTACTGTACTGTGTAAAAACAAAAAGAATCGCAATGCTGAAAAACATTTTCAGTGACAATGTTTGGATTTGAACTCAAAATAATGGATAAATGTTGTGTTTTTGGTAAACAGCCACGGATCAGTAGCGGACTCCTGTGTGAAAGCTGCTTCTCCTCTCACAAGAGTCACCTAAGAGGGGAATTCCCCCCATTTTCAAAAATGAAATTCAGGCCCTGAATAAATGTCTAAAAATCCTGATTGGAGTATCACTATAAATAGTTATAAATGATAAAAAAGAAGGCTTTAAAAAGATCGGTATCAGTGATCGATATAGGCAGATACTGCTTTCTGTGATCGGCCTCAACAATCCTGATCGGAGCACCCCTAATCAAAACATAAAACATTATTTTTGTAACTGCGAGGTGTCCGTTACACATTTTCCCTGTGTGTTAACGTAATTAAGTCGACTATCGCACACTGGTGTGGACCAAACAACCGTACCGAGACCCAGCTGAAGAGGTGGTCTCGGTCCGCTTCCAAACAAACTCTGGTACGGTTAGTGAATATGACCCGACCTCGATCTGACCAAATTGCAGAAATCACGCTCCTAAACAGACAGCTTGAACATGTAGTGCCAGTTTTTTGCATTTCATTCACTTGTTTTTAAACCACAATGCTTAAAAATGCATGCAAATGATGAGTTTTCGTGACCATGGTACACAGCCACATGACGTGAGCGCGCTAAATAGGCTAAAGCTTGCCGTAAAAGTTACCATGACTATGTTGGGGGGAAATAGTACAGAGATATTTTAATTATTTATTAATAATCTAGTGTTTTCTGAGTCGGTGTCGCAAAGATTAAATTGATGATCCTGACTTGGCATCTCATCATTGGACGGGCCTTAAGAAAGAAATGCATCTTTGATTACATAATGAGTTTTTGTTTTGGATTTAAATTATTTCGTTTTGTAGTCATTGGAAGCTTTCTATAGATATAACCATCATGTCTGTAAGGAAAATATTCGCTGAGTTTCGGTTCATTTTTGTGAAGAGCTCCTGTTCAAGACTGAGACGGCAAGGCAAGCGCATCCTATTTGTTTTCTTTATTTTACAAAAGCACAATGTTTTGTTGATATTGTGAATGCACACAAATTAAAGTAGACCATTTACAGTTCCGAAAGATGTATTATTCTTACCTTTATGAGCAAAAATTACGGCGCATTTAATTTGTTTCCACTGATGTCCTGAAGCGCGCTTCAGCTTCCACTCTCCGCAAAACGATTGGATATGCACCTAATAGCGCACATTTATCTAGGTTAAATGTTTAAACTAACATTGTGATGTGCTTTAAGTATTTTATATCTGTAGATTTTATTTTCGGCAAGTCGTAATTACAGCATCCTTTGACATTGTCTCATATGATGCTCATAAGTTTCTTCATATTGCGTTAGTATCTGATAAGACCAAATTAAAAACACCAAAATAAAAATTGCACTACGAAAGATCTCCATGGTTAGCCTGTTTTTGCACTTCCTGTTTTTCCCTGCTTGAAAATTTCTGTCCAATGAATGGATGACCTTAGCACACATGAGGTTTTGTTTACAAAGTTTACAAAAAGGGCAGTGTGAAAGCGAACCACACCAAACATTGTATTTGGTCCGGACCAAAGCAAGCAAACTAGCGGACTTTCCTGGTGTGAATACACAAATTCACTTTGATGTCTTCTTTTGTAATTTTGATTCCTAAAAAATCACTAAAGATTCATATGACTAAAAATTCTAAAAAGATTCTGCAATCTGCTTTAGCAACCAGAAGCCAAACATACAGTTAAAGACATGTACAGGGTTTGGTCTGTGCTTTTGTTCTCCCGAGTGGAAACATCAGCCAATACTGATCATGTGAGGGTGCTAATGAAGGAAACTGAACGTTGGTGTGTTTTAAGGTTTTGGGAGCGCGCCACCTGCCCAAACACGGTCGAGGTATCGTTTGCCCTCTCATCGAGATCGAAGTTTGTGGAGCAGAATATGACAACGCCAAGCAGAGGACTGACTCTGAAGGTGAGGTGCAGATGCAAATCGTTTACAACAACAACACATAAGAACAAACATTGTAGGGGTATGTGGGATCACTAAAAGGTTTACCTGCTTTACTCTCAGCGGACAACGGTCTGAAACCCACCTGGCCCAGAAAACCCTTCCGATTCACCGTGTGCAATCCTTCCTTTGCCTTCCTGCGCTTCGTGGTCTATGAAATCGACATGTTCAACGACCAGAACTTTCTCGCCCAGGCAACGTTCCCCATCAACTGCCTCAAAACAGGTACGGCTCGCAAAAGAATGAACACTTTTGTGCTCTAAATAAATTGGGGTGTCCAGTCCTGCTCCTGGAGGGCCACTATCTTATCAAAACCGGGTCGATATAAAATAGAGGCGGACAGTAGTATTTTTTACTCCGCTTTAAAAGTACTTTTCAATTGTCTGTACTTTATCAGTGTTTTTCTTTAGAAAACTTTACTTCACAACATTCCAAAGTATAATATTGTACTTTTAACTGCACTACGTTTCATATTAAATATCATTTAATTAGTGCGGTCAAACGATAAATCGCGATTAATCGCACCCAAAAACTAATTTTTTGTTTACATAATAAATAAACACTGTGCACATACATATATTATGTATATATAAATACTCACCCATGCAGAATATATTTTGAAAATATTTACAAGTATATACATTTATATTATTCTATTTTATATTATACAGATTTTATATCAAACATATTTTTCTGAAATGTATACATGCATGTGTTTGTATTTATATGTACATAATAAATATACACAGTACATGCACATATTATGTAAACAAACTTTTATTTTGGATGCGATTAATCGTTTGACAGCGCTACATTTACAACGTAATTACATTAGAAATCTATTACTTTCTTACTTTTACTCAAGTAAAAGTAATTCAAAGATTTAAAAAAGTACTACATTTTTAATGTTCTTAAGTATTAAAGGTAAAGCAAACAAACTTTTATTTATGAAATGTAGTGCAGGAAAAAGTATGACACTATGCTTTGGAATGTAGTGAAGTAAAGTTTTCCAAAGAAAAACACTCTGATAAAGTACAGATACTTTTTAAATTTACTTGAGAAAAATAAAAAGTTCACTACTGTCCGCCTATTAAATCGTCTGGTTTAGCGCGATTATGAAAATGCTCTGCGATTATGAAAGCTGTTATGCGCAGCGGCTCTGTGATCAGTAGTAAATGCTGCTCCATCTGAAAGCACGGCGAGTTTGAGTCGCTTAAAACTTGCATTTGAAAAAGCAACATGCGTCAAACATCTTCCCCGAACTTTTATGAACATCTTGGCCAACAAAATACCACATTTAATAACATGTTTTTACTCCAAACTCACTTCATAACATCAGTCGAGAAATAAAATCCTTCTGTGAGATGATGTGGCTTCTTGCACAGAATAAGGCACGCAACATATTTCATAGTATTCTAAGCAGTGATAAAGGCTATGTCGATTAGCATTGCATTATGAATATACTTCATTATAATGAAAATTATAAGAAGAACTCCGATAAACCATATATTGTCGTAGTCCTGTGTTTATTAGTCGTGTTTAATCAATGAAAGCAGTTCAATCTTCTGTTTATTCATGCCCTCTGGCCTTCGGATGGAGCAGTATTTACTACTGATCACAGATCTGTGCTTCACTGACAAGCGTGCGTGTAAAAATCGCAGCTTTTGCCTAATCGTGAATGAAATTTAATTTCAGTTAATCGTCCAGCCCTATTGCAGAGTTGTGGTGCGTTTTAAGTCATGCCGGATAGATCGTATTTACGAGTTGAACGCCCCCATAAAGTCGTTTTTACGAGTGGGAAACTCAAAATGTTCTGTAAGCCGTGAGGAAGCGTTGGGGGTAAACATGTCGGATGCAATGGATGCAGCCAGAGACTATTATTATATATAGATATGCAGCGTCTGTATTGATGGTCAATTTGTTGAAATTAAAATTGTTGTCATGTACAATAAAACTATGTAAGTTACATAAACAAAATATTATATTATATAATCATCATAGAATATATGAAGTTCATTTGCAAAAACAGATAACTCCGTTTTTAAACAGTTTTCAATAATCATGTATTTTTTTCATTGTGCATTCCAGTTAATTTCAATCAAACTGCAACTGGGTTATTTTGATTAGGTAAAAAAATAACAAAAAAATACAGCTAACTAAAACATGATAACATAATAAAAAACATGATTTTTAAAAATAAAAAAACGGAGTTATCTGTTTTTGCAATTAACTCTTCATATAATGATTCAGTTTACATCACCTTCATAAAAACGGAAAAAAGGCAAAAACACGATGCACATTATTTATTCATCATTTTGTGGATGTACAGTTGAAAAAATCGTTGAACTTTATGTAGAAAAGTTAAATCGCCATCCTGTTCCGACCAAAGTGACTTGAATGCACCAGACGCCGTAATTATGACTTTTCAACTCGTAAATATGACTTCCCAGGAGGACTTGAGAGCACCATTTAGCGCTAGTCCTAATAAAACACACCTGAACTAGTTTAGTCAAGGTAGTTAAATAGAAATAATAATGTCCTAATGTCGGTCTGTAGGCTACCGGTCGGTCCCGCTGAAGAACAGCTACAGTGAGGATCTGGAGTTGGCGTCTCTGCTGGTGCACATGGACATCGTCAGAGGAAGGGTGGGTGTCACAGCATGTAGAAACACGCTTTATTCATCGGCTGATATGCTGTGTCGTAATGGCCGGCTGGTTTCTTCTGCAGCATGAGAACGGCGAGATGCTGAGTCCGTTCTCGGCGACGGGGGCCATGGCCATGCAGGTGGGCCGGGAGCGGATGGGGGACACCAGCTCCGTCTCCTCCGCGTCCTCCATGTCCCCCCTGCCCTCGTCTCCGGGCCAGGCGCTGGGATATCGCGGGCGGGAGGGCTCGATCGAGGCCCGCTACCAGTCTCCGCTGGAGGACTTCAGAGTGTCACAGGAGGGGCTGATGGATCACGAGAACAGGAGGTACGCTTGGACTAAAGATGGGGTTAATTGTCAAATTATATGGCACATTAGGGCTGGGCGGTATATCGAGCAGACAGACAGAGCTCATAACTCTGACTAAAATATACATTTTGCTGAAATATTTCTAGTTGGACAATAAATGTGACATATGTAGAACTTTAAACCTACAAGTAAGTGTATTTGTATGATAGCACTAACTGTAAAGTGAAATGGGGTAATAAAAATAGCCTTTTTACTCAATTACTCAGTGCTTTTTTATTATTTTCATTTTTAGTTTAGTAAATGTAACTTCTGCTTTAAAAGCATTTTTGTTTTTAGTTTGCAATGTTAGAATGTAATGTGATGTTAACCCTTTTTTTGCACATAATATATGCCTACATGCTTACATTCACTTTATTTGTTTAATCCAAATACAAAATACCGAGATACATACCGTATACCTCAAATCAGCCAAAAATTTACCGAGATTTTTGCTCATATCGCCCAGCCCTATGCCACATGTTGTTGTCTTTTATTTAACAGAAGTTGTGACAGATCTTTTTAATTGTATTGCGCCATACATCCGAGTGTAACAGACTATTGAAAAAGGGAAAGATGTAGGGCTGGGACTTTGTTTAATGCATCAGTTTGTTGTTTTGAGATGTGAACACTAGCTTGCAGTGGTGGAGTTTAAAGTGCCCCTATTATGGGTTATAAAAGGTTCATATTTTGGTTTTGGGAGTCCCCAACAACAGGTTAACATGCATGCAAGGTCAAAAAACACTTTCATTGTCTTATAATATGCATTATTTTTTACCTTATTTGCTCAACGACTCCCAAACTATTCGCTCAACGATTCATTTTTCCAAACTCCTCCTTTGCATGACGCTAATTTTGGTGATTGGTCCGATCGGTCTCATTTTCATTTCATCATGAGCCTGTGATGCCTGATAAAGCAGCGTTTGTGAACGCAGTGCTGCTTCGTGTACAGCGTTACCGAGGAAACCGCTATTTTTACCGCTCCAGAAGCAGCACCTAGTGGCAAAGAATGAATTTGCATTTTCATTCAGACCAACGCGAAAAGACCAACAAGTGAGCGGACAATATGCTAATGTTTCATGTTGACGTCAACATGAAACGGCTTGGGATTCATTTTAAAAATGACTCGTTTCAATGATTCAGAGTCGACTCTTTCTTTTGAGAGACAATAACTTTATACACGGTGCACTTCCAGATTTAAAATTTTGCAGGATGTTTTCATTCACTTAGAGCTGTGTTACACACTGCATGAAAGGTTATTTTCAAAAATCCATAATAGGGGCATTTTAAGAGGTCGAAATGATTGGAGAAGTCTAGCATACGTCACTAGAGAGAAGTCTTTCATTTCACTGAAAGATCCAGTTAACATTTTGATTAAATATTTTGCAGTTAAAAAAATGAAACATGCATGCAATCATTCACAATAAGATCTGTAACAGAGAATAGATCGGGTGAATTTTATGTTCATGCCAACTTTAAGATGATTACTATGATAGTTGTGATCATGGGCAACATTTAACTCATGAGTCTGCAGAAAAATGCAGTCTTTTTGTAACTGCATCAGCAAATTATTCACAGAAGTTTTAACAAAAAACTACTTTAAAGGGTCATGAAACCCCCTGTTTCAGCACTGGTTAGTTCTCACCACAGTTTTAAAAAAAATGCTAAAAAAGTGGGCCTGGTGCGGAGCGGAGGAGGGGGAAGAGTGGAGACAGACAACACATACAGCTTCGGGTTCAGACAGTTTAATTTCGCTCCCATCAAGTTAAAAACACAAACCATCGAAAACGTATATATGAACACGCTGTTGCACCTCTGATAACTTTTAAGGCTTATTCTGCGGTGTTTAAATAAGCCTTTTGATGGGTTGTATCACGGAGCTGTAAAAATGGTTACACTCACTAATGGCGCTTTTTCACTGCACGGTACGGTTCACTTTTGGGGGGGGTTTCCACTGGGTACAGTACCTGGTACTTTTTTCAGTACCACCTCGGTTGAGGTTCCAAGCGAACCATACCGTTACCAAAACGTGACGTGTAAACTCTGCTGATCACTGATTGGCCGGAGAGAATCGTCACTTCCTGCGTCACTACCTGTGACACAGACACAACAGAACCACTAGATTTAAATCAGCACAGCCAGCGAAGGATCGAACGCAACTGTTTTGAACGAGCACACTCTTTGTTTCGTTGTCTGTTGAGGAAGTAGACGTTCCTCTCGTTGATAACTGAGGAGCGGATCCAGCGAGAGCTTGATGGGGCGATGCGGAATGAAAAAGTTATAGGGGCATTTTAAGAGGTCGAAATGATTGGAGAAGTCTAGCATACGTCACTAGAGAGAAGTCTTTCATTTCACTGAAAGATCCAGTTAACATTTTGATTAAATATTTTGCAGTTAAAAAAATGAAACATGCATGCAATCATTCACAATAAGATCTGTAACAGAGAATAGATCGGGTGAATTTTATGTTCATGCCAACTTTAAGATGATTACTATGATAGTTGTGATCATGGGCAACATTTAACTCATGAGTCTGCAGAAAAATGCAGTCTTTTTGTAACTGCATCAGCAAATTATTCACAGAAGTTTTAACAAAAAACTACTTTAAAGGGTCATGAAACCCCCTGTTTCAGCACTGGTTAGTTCTCACCACAGTTTTAAAAAAAATGCTAAAAAAGTGGGCCTGGTGCGGAGCGGAGGAGGGGGAAGAGTGGAGACAGACAACACATACAGCTTCGGGTTCAGACAGTTTCATTTCGCTCCCATCAAGTTAAAAACACAAACCATCGAAAACGTATATATGAACACGCTGTTGCACCTCTGATAACTTTTAAGGCTTATTCTGCGGTGTTTAAATAAGCCTTTTGATGGGTTGTATCACGGAGCTATGCCTTTTCAGATGAGTGTGCATCACACTTGTACTTTTGTTGTACTTCAGGACGGACTTGCATATTTTGCAAGTGACATTTTTACCAGCGTCATCTTTAGAAAAATATTTCCACACACTTGATATGCCACTGCTGCTTTGCTGAAATGACCCACCGGGTTCCTGATCGGTCCTCGTGTGTAAGGCTGCCATGTTGTTCATGTCAAAATCACATGATCCACGCAGCGCGACTAGTCGACATCAATCAAAAAGCGTCATGGCAGAGCATTAAAGTCGACTAGTCTGTGCAACCCCTACTCTGGACTAGGGTTGGGCTGATAGACATCACGATGTTGAGCCGACATCGTGATTCCCTCCCCCCCAATCCGCCGCATCCCAATCCGGTGTTCAGAAAGAAAATGACGTGTATACAGCACTGTTAATTTTGACAGAAAATTTTGATTTAGTTTTAGTCAGTCTTTTGACTAAAATGCCATTTAGTTTTAGTCATCTGAATTGTTTTTAGTTTTAGTCTAGTTTTAGTTGACTAAATATCATAAGATTTTAGTCGACTAAATCTACAGTAAATTTAGTCAGCTAAAAACTAATGGGTTTAGTTACAGTGCATTTATTAAGCATTTCTCTAAAATTTCTAAACTCATTATGTAGGTTTGATATTTAGGTTTTATCATGATAGACACCGATTTAACTGCGGTGACACACAACATGCCTTAAATAAAACCACTTCTCATAAAGAACAAGAACATGGTCTTCTTTTTAATGAAATACCAATGGTTATATAGGCTAATTATGCATTCTTTATAGCAACTTGTTTACCGTATTCTTCATTCTTTCAAGCAGACATATTTATTTCTATAAATAAATTTTGATTAATCTTTAGGGCTACTAAAGTTTTTCAGTCAAGAGCAGTGCGTGATTTTCGGTCTTTCTTTTGTTGCTTGATTAACATCAATGACTCAATAGCAACTAAATTAGGCTGCTATCCCTTTAAAACCGAATGCACAGCTGCAATGGATGCAATGTACTGATACACGTTCCCTACTGTTTACGTTCACTTAAGACGTAATCAACTGTGTTTACGTGAATACTCGTCAAAACGACTCCTCAGAAAACCGGACCGAATTAAGTTCTCTCTTGCGTCGTCAGATTTATCCATATGTCTGCTCTTCTCTTACTCCCACATATTGACATTTTTGAACATTTTATGCGACGTGCAGCAAGTGTATGTTAGCTTATGTCCCGCCGTAACTCATCAAACTTTCATCTGTAAATAGCACACATTCACAGTTCTGTCTATGGACATTTTTCCTTTTTCTGTATATTTTTTATTACTATTGTTATTTATAATTTATTGTCTATTCTCTCATTTTATGTATGTCTGCACTTTGTTTGTATTTTCTGTACCAGAAGCTCCTAACACCAAGACAAATTCCTTGTGTGTGTGTGTGTGTGTGTGTGTGTGTGAACCATACTATATAAAAACATGGACGTAGTCTGCTCAATTTCTTGACCTCTATCAGCAATATGATGTTGTGTTCTTTGAAAGTAATTATTCAGCGTATTGAGATGCTCAACTATTAGTTTTCCCTAATTTCCATACCAACAATGATGAACTATGTAATAAAGCTGGTAACCTATTGCTTATTTTGTTAAAACAATATTTCAACTGCAAAATATGAAATTCTATGACAACTGGTCCATTTTGTAGCTTATTCTGACCAAAAACCTATGAATCGCCATTACTTTTTGACATTTAATGCTGATAAATCTGAAATCAATGTTACGACTAGAGATGTAACGGTATGAACATTTCTTATGATTATAGTGACCAAGATTATCACGGTTATCAGTATTATCACGGTATTGTTAAAATGTGCTGGAAACTAACACAAATCATTTCACCAAGTTTTATATTTAAAATCAACAAATAAAATGAATTTTTGTTTGCATAAACACACACACAAAAAATAACATTACCAATGATGTCCGACTCCGTATTTTAAATAACATGTACGAAATGTTCAAACATAACTTTGAAAAGGTTTCATAAAATGGTAAACCTCACGTTTCAGTCTTTAAATAAAGAAAAGGGTTAAGTCAAAATGAAAATAATTAATCGATAAATGATTATATGTATTTTATCTGCTCCATAAATAATTCTAGATACCTTATCCAAATTGTTTAAATGTGTAGAATCCACATAAGCTTGTTTTTCATCAACAGGTCAAAGTTTACAGAAGGCCATGCAAACTGCACACAGGCTGAATGTGAACGTAAGTCTCTGTAAACCCACTCTCTGACAGCAGGTGGCGCTTATGGAGCAGCAGAATTACAGCTGTTTCCCGTAACCTCCGTGAACAAAGCAGCATTGCGATTAAAACACTACTTTATCAGGTATTACACAAAGCGAAGATAAAAACAAAATGCCATTGAATCTTTTCTGAAGACATCCAGAACCTACAGAGGCACATTCATATAATTAATTCATGCGTATATTCATTTGTATAATTCCCTTAGCACTCTTTTAAAACCTCCCAGCTTTCCGCCATGTTTTCACACAAAACGAAATTACTTTTTCGTTGTTCAAATCGTGGTAATTGAATACGGTTTTAATGATGCTTAAAATATGACGAGGTAATACTAACCGTGGATAATTTTATCATGATTTATCATCAAAACGTTAATCGTTACATAGTTACGACAATAGATTATTTCCAAATACCAATGTTCATAGGTATAATTAGGTGAGTTTTAGATGGTCTCTTCCTGTCTGAGTGGCTGCTTCTCGTCAAGCACAAGCTGCAGTGTGGACCGGATCTAATGCTGATGATCAGAAGTCAGGCTAAAGGGTTGAGCTCTTATGTGTGTGATGTTTCTTTTCTCTCGCAGGCTCCGCAGGGCTCGCGTCAGCGCCGACAACCGAGCGTAACCCGAGCTTGCGACGGACAGACGCAAGGCCAGCGACAAGGGTCCCACAGAGCTGATGATGTCAAGGACTGCATTGAAACCCGCTTCTGTGGAAATCGGCATCGCCAGCGTTTTCGGACAGATCTCCCTCTCTCTGCGACTCTCTCCCGCTCCGGGCCGCGCGGGGCGTGAACGAAGCTGCGGCTCACGGACAGAAACAAACAATTATCTGCTTAGCTACAATCTGAACCTGCGGCGGACGGGACAAGGGGGTGTTCTGATGCAGAGCGAGAATCGGGTACAAGGCCAATGTTTCAAAACTGAGTGGGGGCTGTATCATTCATCCCTTTGAAACCGATTCCAGGTTAACATTTATGGAGTAATAATGCTTTTTCTTTACTCTATCTCTCTGGCTTATATATATAAATATATAAATGTGTGTGCGTGCCCCATTTTGCTGTCGATTAGAAAAGTGTTGCAGCTGATCTGCTCTCAAAGAGCCTCTCACTCCAGATTCTTATTTCATTTCAGATTGATTATTTTTTATTATTTAAACATGTTTCATAATGCTAATTGTTTTTTTCTATATGAGTTTTTTTAACATGAGGGCTTGGCCTTTTTAAGTTGTTTCTCGCATTCTTGCGCTTTCTCTTTCCTCTGTCCGAGTTGATGGACTAAACTGTTTGACACGTCCCAGGATGCTCTTGTTTTTTTGTTTTTTTTAAGACAGGCAGGTGGCAGTATGGGAGATCTCATTGAAGCAGTCGCTGTCTGAGCATCAGGAAGACATTCTTCGACCTTTAACAACCTTTTTTTTTTTTTTAAACAAAGTTACGACGTTATCAAGTGACCAGAGAGCAATATCACTCTCCTTGTTTTATGTTTTGCCAGTCTGCACGGCAACGTGCATTTAGTTTACAGGACTTCGACCATCTCATTTCAGAACATTTTATTCCTCCAACAACATTTCTGTGATTTATCGTTTCCTGTTTCTCCACATTTTAGCAATTGAGAAGTCTTGTTCCTGAAGGCTTTTTATTATATTTTGTCTTAGATCAAAATAGGGTGGACATTTTATGTATGAGTTAGTAGCGTGTTAACCATGATGTCCGTTTAAAGAAAGCCAAAGGTAGACTCTGCAGGTGGTTTATACAAAAATTGGGACCAAAATAAGTCCGTCTCAGTTCATTGGGTTAGTAGAACACCCTGAGCGTTGAATAATTCTGAAAATATTATGGATATGTTTTGTTTTTTTTCTTCTACAAGGGGGTGTTCTGATGCAGAGCGAGAATCGGGTACAAGGCCAATGTTTCAAAACTGAGTGGGGGCTGTATCATTCATCCCTTTGAAACCGATTCCAGGTTAACATTTATGGAGTAATAATGCTTTTTCTTTACTCTATCTCTCTGGCTTATATATATAAATATATAAATGTGTGTGCGTGCCCCATTTTGCTGTCGATTAGAAAAGTGTTGCAGCTGATCTGCTCTCAAAGAGCCTCTCACTCCAGATTCTTATTTCATTTCAGATTGATTATTTTTTATTATTTAAACATGTTTCATAATGCTAATAGTTTTTTTCTATATGAGTTTTTTTAACATGAGGGCTTGGCCTTTTTAAGTTGTTTCTCGCATTCTTGCGCTTTCTCTTTCCTCTGTCCGAGTTGATGGACTAAACTGTTTGACACGTCCCAGGATGCTCTTGTTTTTTTGTTTTTTTTTAAGACAGGCAGGTGGCAGTATGGGAGATCTCATTGAAGCAGTCGCTGTCTGAGCATCAGGAAGACATTCTTCGACCTTTAACAACCTTTTTTTTTTTTTTAAACAAAGTTACGACGTTATCAAGTGACCAGAGAGCAATATCACTCTCCTTGTTTTATGTTTTGCCAGTCTGCACGGCAACGTGCATTTAGTTTACAGGACTTCGACCATCTCATTTCAGAAAATGTTATTCCTCCAACAACATTTCTGTGATTTATCGTTTCCTGTTTCTCCACATTTTAGCAATTGAGAAGTCTTGTTCCTGAAGGCTTTTTATTATATTTTGTCTTAGATCAAAATAGGGAGGACATTTTATGTATGAGTTAGTAGCGTGTTAACCATGATGTCTGTTTAAAGAAAGCCAAAGGTAGACTCTGCAGGTGGTTTATACAAAAATTGGGACCAAAATAAGTCAGTCTCAGTTCATTGGGTTAGTAGAACACCCTGAGCGTTGAATAATTCTGAAAATATTATGGATATGTTTTGTTTTTTTTCTTCTTCCTCTCAGCTTCCTCTTTCTTCTTCTCTGCTGCTATCCTCCTCCGTCGCTCAGCAAACCAACCGTGGATCTCACGGCGAGTCATCTTTGTTTCTACTCTTAACCGGTCAACTTCTTCACTAGGTGGATCTGGGTCCTGTGCAAAGCTGGCCTCCAAAGCACGAACCTGGTGGGGCTCTCGCTCTTTGTACCGTATCGCCGTGAAATCTGGCGATGGTGGTCGTGGAGGACGCCGTGTTGGAGTTGGCGGGGATGATGTCTCTGAGGGGCTGAGAGGTGACTGCTGGGGAGTTTTGGGCCTCTCTGGGGGTGTACTGTTTTCGGACAAGTCCCCAGCAGCAAGAGTCTCCAGTTGGGAAAGGCTACCACTAGTAACAGTTTGACCTCCGCCACTTGACCTTGAACCCTTCAGATTCCGGAAGTGGTAACGGCGGTCGCTGAACCATTTCCGCACTTCACGTACAGACAGACCAGTTAGGCTTATAAGTCGGTCTACTTCCTCTTGATTAGGAAACTGGCTAACAAGGAAGCTCTCCTTTAAGGCTGCCAGCTGTTCCTGTGACTTCTTGGTTTTGTTAAAGCTGGGGTCCAGGAAGTTAGTGGTGGAGAATATACGGGAGTTCATAGACATAGGAGAGTCTGATTTACTTGGTACGGCACTATCTGTTGTAGTCGTAGATGCAGAGGTCGTGGCTGGAGTGGTACTGGCAGCTGAAACAATGTCCTTGCTGTTAATGTTGCTTTTAGCCTCAGAATTGCCTTTACCCTCACTTTTCACAATGTTGCCATTGCTTTGAATGCAAGTGGCATTAGTATCCGGTGTATTGATCTTAATTTTACTGTTGCTATTTGACTTAGCAGGGCTGCAGCTACCAATACTGATTACACTAGCCTGGCTACATAAGCTGCTAGTACTACTAATACTGCTTGAACCGCTGCTAGTACTAGCATTGCTGCTGCTGCTACTACTGCAATTTCCACTACTGCTGCTACCAACAGTGCCTAAAACCATGCTGATTCCTTTATCGGCTACCAGGGCTGCGGTGGGTCTGGCCAGCATAGTAGGCTTTGCAGCAGCCTGAGGTTTAGGTGTTACGGCTAATGCAACAGGGGCACTGCTGACCTGAATTCCATTAGCCATCATTGGTTGGGTGACAATAACCCCTCCTTGCCCAACAAGTCTACCTTGTAAGATATGAGGGATGCTGGTTGTGCCCAGAACTGTGATAGTTTGTTGAGTAGTGGTGTGGTGGGTCTGACGTTGCTGTTGGCCGTTTGAAGGTGCTGCCTGTATGATTGTATTGAACATTTTTCTGCGGGCATCTTCTATTTCTTCTGGAGACCAGCTGATTCCTTGTTTCAGCCTTTGTGCTGTGAACCAGATCTTGATCTGCTCCTCGGGATACTTGGTGACTACAGTAAGGTAGCAAAGCTCAGCCTTGGTTGGATAAGGGAACTTGCTAAAGGATGTCTTTAAGAAACTGCTATTGTCCATGAATGCATTGTAAGTAGGAATGCTGCTCATGGGGATCATTACTTTTGGAAGATTCTTAGTACTTGATGCCGAAGAGGAGTGGGTTGAGGAGACAGTGATTGGAGCAGATTGTTGATTGAGACTTCTGTTCTGCACAACGGATACGACTTGTGTAACAGCTGTCTTCAGCATGGGCAAAGCCCCAGAGCCATTCACAATCTGTATGGCCGATGGCAAGGCAACTTTGCTGGCTGCTCCATTGTGTACAATAGTGGGCACATGAGTGACTGTAACTGCAGGAGAGTCACTTTTCTCCACCACTTTGGTAATAACGGGGGGAGGGTCATCAGTTGCATGGTGGGAAACTACAATCCTTTTGGGTTCTGATTTACCCTTCAGCATTTTCATGATTGGTGTCTTGGTGATGGATATCTCAGATTCTTTAGAGCTAGTGCTTTCACAAAGTTCCACGCAAAGACGCTGCTCTACTATGATTCTATTGTCCTTCTTTTTGAGCTGAAGTGTGGTGTTTATTGTACTCGGATGGACACGGGCATTGTGCAGTGCCAAGCCCTCAAATTTTGCTGCACTAATCCCACAATCCACACAAAGGAAACAAGGGTCAATGCGGAAATCTAGGTGTCCAATGTAGACGTGATCAAGGAAAAGATTTAGATCCTGGGTCTCAAAGTTACATGGCCTACAAGTGTAAATACCGCCATCTTTATGGGTATCACCTGCTTCTTGCCCAGAGAACTCATCCAAACTTTGACAGCTTTTTCCACTTGCTTCCTCTGTAACGGAAAAGCCAATGTCCTTGGTTGAAGGGGACAGTCTGTCCCGCTCAAAGTCATCCTGCAGATGCATGGCTTTTACAGGAATCATGCATGGAACGGTCGACTTCCTCTTGCTAGCCATGGTTCTGTCTACTTAAGTCTCCAGTGAGAGTCCTGATTAATTATGATGGTTATCCACTCTTATTAAACATCCACTGAGAACTTTTTGATGGACATTATCATCAGTTCATTATAAGCATTTAATGTCCTTAATGGTTTCAGGCATCAGAGCGTCTGTAAAGAAAAAACAACAGCTTTTAAGAACCACAGAAGTCAACCTCAACTTAGTTACTATACTAAAATAACAAAAAAAACTGCCTATTGACCTTCTATCTTTAAACGTCTTTTCACTTACAGTACAAAAGAGAAGAGCTGCTTTTATGTCTGTCTCTGATGACTGAGCTACTTTCAAAGAAGCTTTTACAGCCTTTCATTCCGTTTACGGAGCGTCCTCACACCCCATCCCCTCTCAGAAAAAGTTTAACTTTTGTTGTTTTAAGTGACTGACATACTATCAATCAAACCCGATGGATTTTTTCATACCACAAATGTGAGAAAACATACATTTCAATATGCACACATCCTAATGTTCAACAGTGTATTCATTAAACAACAACAACACAGGAAAAAAAGCACTTGAGTTCATTTCTGATTCAAATGACTGTGACTGCCAAGGCCTACTAGAAATATAGGTCACTTTCAATTCACTAATCTTAGACTGCAGCAAGCAAACATACCCAGCAACAGGGCAGCACAGTTCTTAGCTGCAAGTTAACCCTCCAAATGATAGGGATTTGGGGCCACAAAAGGCAAAACATATGACAAGAAAGGACCACAGCGATGACAACAAGAACATGTTTCCAATAAGAGAATACTGTATGACCAATAACCAAACTGAAAAGAGCAGTACAACTTTCTCCAATTCTACCATGTCACAAAGGGACACAGGAGAACTTTGGTCTGATAACATGGTCTAGTTAGCCCCTGCTGGTAGATGCTGTAATTACACCATCAGGATCCTAAAGTATTATTCTCCAGATGGCCATTATATAGTAATCAAATATTCTGACTACATCAAAATTTTGCAACTCATATAGACCTATTTGGAGTAGACCTCAGAGTTATATTACTTTCAGCTGCGTGCGCATTGTGGTAGCAGAAAAACACTGGTAACAAGTGGAGGGAAACGGGTAAAACCCATGGAATATGAGAAAAAATGTATTGTTGTGCCTTTGGATGTCAGAATCAGAATGCAAATCATTTGTATAGAATACGGTCATCAAATATGCCATTTGAAACTAAACGCAATAAATAATAAATGCAATAAAACCTGCTATGATTATTACTCTACTTTTAAAGCATACATTTGATTTACAAAGGTTTTATAGGTCTACATAATATTCACATATGCTGTTCATAGGGGACATATTGTATTAGCCCTAAAGTTACAGCATGAAATACTATTTAAACCTAAAATATTTGACATAACATTTATTTTATCTCACAATTCTGACTTTTTTCCCCCCTAGCAAATACAAGTTTAAATATCCTAGTTCAGACTTTAAAACTCAATTTAACTCAACAATAGTGAGTTTGTCAATTATGAGGAAAAAAGGCAGAAGTGTGAGATACAAACTCATAAATCTGATCCGAGGGGTAAAGGGAGAATGACGAGTTGATTTTTCTTATCAGAATTGTGAGATATAATCTCACACTTCTAAGAGATTAATTGCGATAATAAAGTCAGAAATTTGAAATGTATACTCAAATTTACCTTTTTTTATTCTTTTATTCCATGGCTTCCATAGACTGCTACTTGAAAACTGTAATTTTCTACCAACAGATATGCTCCGCCCACAAAAAAAACCGTCATTACTGTTTGCAAACTCCGAATTGGTCTATATAAATCACTTTTATTTTGTTATGGTTTAGAAGACGTTTTTCCAGCGCCCAGCTTTTGGAGGGCTCTTAAAGTTGTGAAATATACTTCTTTTTCTAATTTTCTCTGTCAACTGCTGTTGATTTTATGAGCTGTACATGTTCTTCTGGTGGCATCAGCCACTCTGGCATTGTCATGATATGATTTTCCTGCAGCTTCAGAGTGATTAGTCACATTGCATTTATGGCTCAGATTAGGGTTGTGCCAATAGATGATAGTATCGTGTATCGACGATAGTCAGAGATATCACCTATGGCTGATGCCTTTGACGATATCAAGACAATTATTATTATTATTATTAGGCTAGTATCATTATCTAATTAATATTAGGGCTTATTTGTCCAATCATATGACTTTTTATAGTGTTGCGCGTTATAACCAATTACGTTGAGTTTATGAACGCAATGGCCAATCAGAGGCATGCAAATGAGTCATCGCTGAAACACCAGAGTTTTGTTGTTTATTGCACAAGCGCGCTGACTGAATTCAGCCCTCTTGTGAATTCTCTCATCATAAACAACAAAGTGCAGATGTACGTGTGATGTAAGTATAAGAGATAGCTTCACTGATTATAACGGGACTGTTTTTTAAAGTGCATATACTTGCCCTAGACTGAAGTCAGTGATGATGTTCTTTGGTAATGTAAATGTTCTTTGCTCGTTTTCTGTAGCTGCTGTTTGAATAACTAAGGCAATGCAAGCATTATAATTAGTAACATACAATGTTTTTATTAAATTGTGATCAAGTTAAATACAAATTTAGTCATATAAAAAATATTTTAATGATATGACATCCATATGCTACTTGACTGAAAATATATAATGTGCAGTTAATGGATTACACTAAGATTAGGCTGCTTTTAGCCGTACCCTGGCCTGGAGTTGGTTCACTCTCCAGCTATTAAACTAAGTTAATAATTAAATAAATTGGCTCGATAATATCGTGTATCGGCGATCTGAAGGTCATATGGATGTGCTCCATATGACCTGCATGAAAACATATACAGAAAATATATCGTATGAATATAAATAGACACCAACATTCTTTGTATGTTGGTTGAAAGTACTCTACTTCGGTGTTTTTACGCTCGTGCTCAATGCAGTCTTCTGAGCTTTTAGCGCCACCGCGTCAACCTTTTGGGTAACAGCAGTTGCTCTGGCCACGTGATGTAATACTCAAATCTTATTGGACGGCCTGTGTTTTCACTTTGTGTAACTGAAAAGATTCGTCGGACTGGTTCAAAAAAAAAAAAAAACGTTAGCATTTTCAGTGCGCGAATGTTCGCAGTCTGTGTGGAAGCATCCATAGAAATCTATTGTTTTATTCCAGCGCGTCCGATATTCTTTTTCGCGCTTAGTGTGGAAAGGCCTTTACACTGCCACAATATCCTCTTTTTCCCAGAAAATGGAAATGCCCTTCATTGCAGCTTGCTGCGGCGTTGGGGGCATGGCCCTGCCAATGCTGCTGGGTCACATAACCAACACAAAAGGGTTGCGTGGTAGGCGGGCCTGACATCCATCACGCTGGTCAGACCCTGAGGACGAGAAGACGAGTGGGGGTTGGGCCCTTAAGTTTGGTCCGAGGTGCGAGCATGTGTGTGTGTGTGTGTGTGCACATGTGTTGGGGGCCATTAACTGTCGCAGGAAGTGTGAGGTGAGGCGTTTCAGCAAGGAATTTTTTGCCTTGATACCAATTCCCCATCCCTACCCCCCTCACACACACCCTTTTCCACCCTCATCCAACAATCACAGAGCCGTTACCCCCCACATCTCCTCCTTCTCCTTCTCCTCCTCCTCCTCCTCTCTGGCTCACTCCAAAGGCTCTGGAATGTTCCACCATGAGCTGTTTAGCGAGTGGTCAACCCCGGAGCCAAGCTGCCGTTTGCGTCGAGCGTTAAGCTATGAACAAAACTATGGACCGTCTGCCAATTTGTTTGCTTAAAAATTAGCAAACGCTTTAAATCTACAATGTTAGATAATGTTCAAGATTGGGCGGACCATATGTAAAAATGACGGATTTGTAATTTAAAAACATCCATTGATGAACCACTATATTGACAAGCCAAAAAAACACTGAAGGATTAGTCCTGGATCACTTGTTTGGCAATACTTAAGTGCAATGTTTACACTAAAAAGGTACAAATAAATGAGTGTTCAACATATAAAAAACTCGAGGCCTATACAGTCAGACTCACCGGAAAAAATATTTTGTATTTTTGTCTTCTAGTATAAATATCTAAACATTCTTGAATCAAGATGACTCAAGATTTTAAGTCTTGTACTCATATATATATATATATACACACATACACACACACACAGTAGTCAACATTTGAAATGGATCAAAACCTTTCATCAAAGTTGTCCTAAAGCCTAAAACCAAAATGTGTTCATGTCTTAGGACACCTTTGTTGAACTTTTTTGATCCACTTCAAATTTTGACAACTAGTTAGTTAGTTTTTGCTCAAAACAAGCAAAAATGTCTGCCAATGGGGTAAGAAAAATAATCTTAATTCAAAGGCTAAACAAGATTATTTTTCTTGCACCATTGGCAGATATTTTTGCTTGTTTTGAGCAAAAACACAATATTTTCATCATTTTTTAATCGAAGTTATTTTACTTGTCAAATAAATGCATCCTGATTCAAGAATTTAGATATTTAAACTAGAAAACAAGACAAAAATACTAAATAAGAAAATCATTTTTTGCAGTGTAGCCATCTAACAGAATATCTTTGTCTCTTTGGAGAACATGTAAATAAACAATGACACAATAGTGCCTAAACTGATCAATTCTGAACCACGTGGGTGTGTTATAAGAACGCGTCGCTAAACATGGCTAATGTGTAGTTGGGATTCAAATCTGTTCTCTATCCGTAACGTTTGCTTTGGCGAAAACACATGTCCCCTCCCCCATTCCCTCGCTCTCCCTCAACAAGTTCAGCCCAGTCCGCAGGGAGACGGGTCGTCAGCACCACTGGTGTGTTACTGTCCCCATGGCAACAACCCCCACTACACACTACTCTGTTTCACGAACACACACCGAATTAACGCACTGACGCACTCATTCGCTCAGTGGTTCCTAGCTCGCCCTGGCTTGTTTTTTCCAGACGCTGCGAGTGGCGAGAGCAGTCCCTGATCCTGTTTCACTGGGTTTGATAGCTGCGCTTGTTCTCACTCATTGTCAACAGCATGGCGTCCCCTCACTCCCTTGTCAAAGCCACCAATGCATGTTGGTGCGAAACCGTGTTTCTTAGTCGCAACGTTAACATGCATTTACGACTGGCCAATTTTTCAGACTTTATCGATTCATTCGAATTTAACGTTTTGCCATGATTTTATTTTTTATAAATCAAGGAATCACGATTTTGAATAGGAATATTACCAAACGTTAGAATTAGACACAATATGCCAATGATAACAGTAAAGAGAAACGAATAATGATCTGTGATCAACGGCTCACGGGTGACGCGCTCTGTGGAGGACCGTAACTAGTACCATTCACAGAGAATGTTTTTGCGACGTAGGCAGCGGAATAGAAAACAATGCAAAAAAGTTGAACTTCTTTTAGCTTGAGCGCCGCGTTTTTAGACTGACATTTCATGCAAGAGAAGCGAGCGCAGCACATCCATGTTTACATAGAAAAAACTATGGAAATGCAGTGCTATCAAATTAAAAATAAAACAAAACTGTAAAGTACTACTACTGTATGTCTTGATATTTCATGTTTGCATCATGGCAACATCAGGCTGAAAGCTGCTGTTGTTTTTACTGAACATGTATAGTTAATAATAGTCTACTGCTGTTATATCTTCGGTGATTTTGAATTATCTTGACTTCTGAGAATTTTTTCAAAAGCATTTTACTTTTGTGAACATGTAAGTTTGTTCAAGATGTAGTTGTAGTTCATGCATCTTTTCTGCAAAGATATTTAACAAGTGATTTGTTTAACCTTTTAATCATGTTAAAAACTTCATGTGCGGTGTGCACTTGGAATGCATTTTTTGGTCACTTTATTTTAAGTTCCAATTCTCGCCATTAACTACGACTTTTGCCTTAAACTCCTAATTTGCTGCTTATTAATAGTTAGTAAGGTAGTTGTTAAGTTTAGGTATTGGGTAGGATTAGGGATGTAGAATATGGTCATGCAGAATATGTGCTTTATAAGCACTAATAAACAGCCAATATGTTAATAACAGGCATGCTAATAAGCAGCTAGTTAATAGTTAGAATTGGTCCTTATACTAAAGTGTTACCGAATTTTCTTTAACTAGAGGGTAATAAAGAAAAGGTTGCTTGAATCGTGTTTAAGTTCACTAGTTTAAAATCAAAAATCGGTCAAACGTTCTGAAAATATCAGATTACATTTTTTTGCCATATCGCGCAGCCCTACATGCATTATTTTAAAATGTTCCCAGACAGAAACGTAGTAAGGACATCAGTAAAACAGTCCATGTGACATCCGTGGCTCAACTTCAGTTTTGCAAAGCTACGAGAATACTTTTTGTGCGCAAAGAAAACAAAAATGACGACTTTATTCAACAATTCTTCTCACCCGTCCCGAGTTACATCTTCTGCCATTTTGGAGAGTATCACAACGCATATGCACGCTTTACCCCCAAGCGTAAACAACGCTGAATACGCCGATTACGTTCTTGGGTACTCGCCAAAATGGCAGAAGACGTAACTCGGGGGGAGAAGAATTGTTAAATAAATTAAGTTTTTTGGGGGGTTTTTTGCGCACAAAAAGTATTCTCGTAGCTTCGCAAAATTGAAGTTGAGCCACTGATGTCACATGGACTGTTTTAACAATGTCCTTGCTATGTTTCTGGACGTGGGAACATTTCAGTTGCGTTGCTGTCTATGGGGGATCAGAGAGCTCTCAGATTCCATCAAAAATATCTTAAATTGGGTTTCGAAGATGAACGGAGGACTTACAGGTTTGGAACGACATGAGGGCGAGTAATTAATGACAGAATTTTCATTTTGGGGTGAACTAACCCTTTAAATTGGTAAGAAAAGTCAAATCTAAGGTAAAGTGTAAAGTTTTGACAAAAGTTTATCCAATTTAGGTTTGTTTTTTTGTTTTTTTATATTGACAATATGCTTTGAAAATAAGACCCCTTCATCAAATAGGCCAATGGCGTAGGTTGTTTTATGCATTGCTTTTTGATGTGTATTGCTCAGTTATTATAATTGCAAATGCAACTTCAACTGTGCAAAATACAGCATAAGTTCAAAAGCACCAAAGAACATGTGGCTTTCTCAATGCAGTGTGGCACAGATTCTGTCACCAGCACCTAAGGTGTTAAGGCTCAGTTAAAAATGGGGGGAAAAATGGCGGCACACCACACGCTCTGCTGTCCAACATAAAATGGCTGACTTCACAGTCTCCTAACCAGCGAGGCAGTGCAATGCCAGAGCCGCTAGAACGCACAGCCCTTGTCCTGATTTCAGACGCCTTCGCGCTCAGGACCAAGCCAAGGGAATGTTTCCAGGTTTTGTTAGGGGATAGATTTGCAATAATCCCACCTGGAAGAGGGCAAGGAAAGTAAAACCAGGAAGACACACTAACAGAGTCATTAACTGGGAATAAAATCCCTGATTTACGGGTTTGTTTCCATCTTGATTTAGTGTTCGCTGATGATCTAGGGTTTTATCTCTCTCTACAGTCGTAAAAAAATCATAATAGCGTCAAAATAAATCACGGAGAGAGGTCAAAAACAATCAGATATTTTAATTTGACTGTCCTTCCTAAAACACAGACCTGTTTTCAAGGTAACAGCTCTGATCGTCATTTTGAGATGTAGAAGAGCATCGACTGTGACCTTTTACTGAGGAGGTAAATCGGTTACGGTTTCCTCGAGTCCAACACCATGGCCTGCATGTTCACCTCAGACAGCCTTGAGCTTCAGTGTTGACGAAACAAGATTTGATTCAATGCTTATGCTTTTCACTCTTTACTACTAAACTTTAATGACTGACAACAATCTAACACCTTTAAGTGTGGATGATCATTCATACATTTTACACAAAGTTGAATTGAGTTTTTTTTCAATTGACAGATACTGATAGTTGATGCTATAGTGCAGGGCAACCAATGGGGAAATAATTATGAACGATACAGTTGAATAATAGCAAATAAGATCGGTTAAAAATGGCAGATTTAAATAAACACTGGTTAAATATTTTTAAAGCTGATTTAACATTGCCAACACTACACATGGGAACACTAAAAAGTTGCGTTTATCGGTTTTCCAAAAGTATGGTAAACTTAAATTGATCGTAGCTCCATTGGAATAACAATCTTACGATGCTTTTGGAAAACGCAGCCCTGGCCGATGCTATAATCTCAATCTGACCACATATATATATATATATATTCACCAGTGGGAGAAAAAATATGTGTAATGCAGCTGAATAACAGCAAATAAACTCTATTAAAAATGGCAAATTGAAATAAACACCGGTAAAAATGTTAAACAAACATGACTTTACACGAAAAGATCCAAACAGATTTATCATTAACAACACTACCGGTAGATTTTCCAGATCTGACACATGGGGAAACTAAAAAGTTGTGTTTATCGGGATGCTATAATCTCAAACTGACCACATATCTCTCTTGCTGTTATGAGGACTAGATGCATCCACTGCCAGCAATGCATTATGAGCTGTGATGATAAATGAACACTGACTGGATGGACACTCTGGGAATATGCATACATAAATAACCAACCCACTGATCCACAACATAAATGAACTTCAAGATGAAACTATTTATGTGAAGGTGTCAGTGATCTCTGCACTGGTAACTCGCGTGCGCCATCATTCCACACCAACTTTAACTTCTATGAATGCTAGTGTTATGAAATATGATCAGATATTGCAAACCACGCACTACATCTCCACCCCTGCTTCCTGTCGCCATTGCACACACACACTCCCTCACTGAGAGAGCAGCGGTCAGTCACTTTTGCTGGAAGAGTGCAGCATATCTGCTGTAATGATGGACTGAGAGCTCGACGTGTAACAAGAAAAGTCAAACACAGACACAGACACAAACTCACCGCCAAATCCCGCGCCGCTTCAGCCGCCACGCACTCGGTAAACACGACTCGAGGCAGCTCGTGCTGGAGGACACAGGGATGAGTGCAACACAAAGGCCCTTCGCTCTTGTTTATGTCCAGTCGAGTGCGTGAGTGTGTGTGCGTGCGCGTGCGTCACCAGCAGGAGGGTCATGTGACCGACGCATCCGAAGCCCTGGTGAATAAAACACCGATATACTGACGATACTGAGTCATTAATAGGCAGATACGCAAAGATAACGACCTGCCGCACTCGTCGTCGCGAATGAAAAGCCGAGTTTGAAAAAGTTTCCGCGAAGTGAAATTACTAGAGCAATTAAGCTGGAGTAGTTTGTGTGAGCGCAATGTGTGTGTGTGGTTAAAGCTTGGCTGCAAGTGCAAGCAAGGTCAAGAGGAAGCATGCATGCTGCACGAGTAAGAGGTGTG